CAAGTATAGCTTCAGATATAAAATGGTTAGGAGGGTCTAGTTTTTGATACGTGAGTATTTCTTGTCTTATTTTTTGAAGCCGGTTCGATTCTTCAGTTATATCATAATCTTTTGTTGCATCAATCACTTCATCTGATGCCCCATTCTTGCACAATTTTTTTCAGAGATATGAAAGTCATGAGGATCTGGCGATATCAGTGGATGTTTCATCACCCAAATAGGCAATATAAGATGCCTCTTCATTAATATCCACATATAATAAATTATCGTTTTTTAGAATTTTTTGAACCATTTCTTTGATAGAATTCACCTTTGGAGTATTTCGCCCAGATTTCTGGAAAGGGACAAGAGCATGTACCTGTTCTTCACTATATCCTATTTGTCTAAGATGCCTTCGTGCTTCATTTCTAGCTCCACGAGTAAGATCTTTAGTTAATTCATCCGCATATCTGTTAAGCTCGAATGGAGAAATTTGTGGGGTTAGCTTGTATACTTTGATGATTTTTGTTACAACAGAAGATATCGATAATATAGTATAGTATAGTATGTATGTTTTGTAGATTATGTTTCGTCTGGTATATACTATGGAGATTCTTTTTTCAAATCGAAATTAATTATCCTGGGTTAGTTTATATAGTATATATCCAAAAATTGAATGGGTTGCAGTTGATATAATTCTATTGAGAAATGGATACGGGTAAGACACGAGATCGATCAAAGTTTTTAGAATCCATAGCTCTACGCAATAAGATTACCAAAAATATAAGAGATATTAAGGGGTATAGCATTACTCAGGCACGTAAGTGCCATTTTTTCAAAATAAGAGGTTCTCAAAAAAATTATTAATATATGACAAACACATAATACATGTCAATGCCTTGAATCAGATCTGTTGATTTGAAATTTAATAATACATAAATATAATGAAAAAAATATATAACTCTAGGGGTGGGATCCTAGGTTTCATTAATATCATTTGGTTTTATCATTTTATTTTTAGTATAATGCTTGCGCTAGAATAAGCATGCATTCTGGAGTTAGAACGTCCGTTTTGGTAAATGCATCATATAACGCATTTGGTTTATATTTTGATAGAGTTAAATTTGGGTGATGAAGGAATTTCATGAGGGTATTATTTCTCCATTCCCTCGTTTCTCTACTGTACTAGCCAAATTTTAGCAAATTGTATATAACGAATTCATTCCAGTTGGCTTTAAGCAAAATTTCTAACAAGCTCAGTTTTCCATTGATTTTTGTAAGAAGACTTTTTTCTGCAACAATATCCCAAATCTTATTGGATACAAAAGATAGACATTTTCTTAGTAT